ACACACACACACATACACATACAGAGCGTCATGCAGACACATAACGAGCTCTGACCTGGCCCTGCGGGTCTGACAGGTAAAGAAGAAGAGCTGAGTAACCTGTCGATGCAGGTAGAGAAACATTCCACGTGCCACCACCCACCACCACCCACACACACACACACACACACACACCTTTGAGCACTGAGTCCTCCAGTCTCTCCGACAGGTCGTGACACTGCTGCTGATATTCTGGATCGGTGAACTGGTGTTTGGGTTCGGCCAGTTTCCTCTGCAGACGCTCCAGACGACGCTGCTCCTTCTCTGCCTCCCGCTCCGCCTGCTTCTTCAGCCACTCCGCCATCCTGCAGCCACCACAGAAGAAGAAGTTGTGTGTATTCACAGGTGTCTGTGGATTTCTAAGCTGAATCAATCTATGACCCAAGAAACTGAACATCATCTGACTGAAGGTCAGGGGTGAATCCACAGATAACATATAATATAAGAGGAGTAAAGTTCCTGTAGAGGAGATCTGATCTGACATTTGGTCTGAACCAGGGTCAGGTGGTTACTGCTCTGATGATTCTGTCACTCACTCTTTCTCGTGGTTCACGTCTCGCAGACGCCGTCCGCTCAGATCTCTGCAGGCTTCACGGTTTGTCGTCTTCTCGATCTGAGCACCGAGAGCTCGCAGCATGGAGCCAAACCCTGAATGAACACACACACACACACACACTTACACTTGAGTGTATTGTTTCATTGGCTTCAGATTGTGAAAACAGATGGATTAGTGTATTTCCTGAACACACCTCCCTTCCCTCCACAGAGGCGGGGCTCCAGGTGATAGACGGCTCCATGCTGCAGAGGATCCTCCAGATCTGACAGTCGACCGTTTCTGACGACGTAGAAATCCTCAGATGAAACTCCCTGCAGAAACAAACACCGAGGTTCAAACACATTTACTGCTAATTCGACACACTCCCAAACAAAGATAGTTAAAACAGTTCCCGGGAAGAGTTTGGCTAGTTTTAGTCTGTCGCTATGTCAACAAGGTGCTTGTTAAAAGACAAGAGCTGTAAATTAACATTACAGATCCATTTAATGACGTCCAGACAATAACTGTATTTACTGCTGCTGGTTTCATGTTTAAGAGTCTGCTGTAAAGTCTGCATTGAACGGGAGCTGTCACTTAATAAAGTATTATGTTAATTACAGTATTATGCTAACTACAGTATTTTGCTAACTAAGTGTTACCCTCACTACAGTATTTCCCTCTGAAAGTGCAGTAGAAGTAACAAGTATCGTGAGAGTACAAGTGCTTTAGTAAAGTTTCCACTTCTGAAAAGAGTCAATAAGAAGACCAGCTTAAACTCCGTCAGCTTTCTGGCGGAGGGTTTCGCTGCAGTTCCTGTTGTTGACCAGACGTGGCGAGTTTATCGAACAAGTTTAAACCGTTCAGTCGGTGTTTGTTAGCTAACGTTAGCACGGCGGCTAACAGCGACACTCACACCGGATTCGAACGTTTCCTCGCGGATTCTTTCAGTTTTCCCGCCTCGCTCTTGTGTGTCTCTTACCTGTAGCTGAATGAACCGGGTCAGAACATCTCTGACCACAGAACCGTCCGGAAACACCAAGTTATACCTCAGCCTCGGAGCGTTCACACACACCTCCATTTTAGATTCTCAAGGTATGGGAAGGCAGTGCGCACGCGCAGCTCTTATTCCACCTTCCGCTGGGAGGTGACGTCACCACCTCTTATCATAGACCAACAGAAATGATTATACAGCAGCTCCCACTTAGGGGTTGTTGGCAACTACATTATTGGCACGGGGGGAGCATCTGAAATGAGTCACGGGACTTTACGCTGTTGTTCCTTTAGGTTTATTGGACTTAACAACAGCTACGCGGCAGTATGTCCAGCTGAGCCGCCAGGTGGCGCGCTGACCGTTTTCCTCTACCGGAAGTTGAAAGGGCTTCCTGCTCGCGTGACTGAGGTACAACATGGCGGCCTTGTGGACGGTCGTGTCTCGGACCAGGTGTGGACTCTGGTTCACCTCCTGTAGGTTCATCAGAAGCTCCTTCAGCTCAGACTCCAGCGGTGCCTCTGGCGGTGACCAGTCCCCCTCGGACAGACCCAGATCCGGCTTCGCTGCTGCCTTCGACCTGCAGTCGGAGCTCCGGCGGGAGGCGGCGAGCGACGAGGGCGGCCCGGGGGGCTCCTCCTCCAGCAGGGACGAAAGCTTCGCCTCTCTCCTCCGCCGGTCCCCGTATATCCAGATGGGACCGTCCCAGGACAAAGTGGTTGTCGGGAGGATCTTCCACGTGGTCAAGGACGACCTGTACATCGACTTCGGCGGGAAGTTCCACTGTGTGTGCCGGCGGCCCAAGGACGGAGGGGAGAAGCTGCAGCGGGGAAGTAGAGTCCGTCTGCGGCTACAGGACTTGGAGCTCACAGCCCGCTTCCTGGGGGCCAAAACCGACACCACCCTGCTGGAGGCCCAGGCCGTCCTGCTGGGCCCGGTGGAGGGACGGTCCTGAGCGGACAGACCGTCAGACACCGCTAAAGAAAAACCAGACGTTTTTAAAGGGAGTCTGGCAGCAGCAGGTCTGAGACTGGAGGAACCAGAACATCTGTGTGTGTGTTGTTTATGATGAACTGTGGAGGCGGGAGAACTGAGCGGATGTTTCCATCCGGACTGACTCCTCAGGAACTGTGAGGTTTTGAGTCTGGACTCTGGACGGAGGGTCTGATGTGAGGAACAGCTGTTATAGATATTATAGATATTAAAATAATACATATTCTGTAAACACTTTGTTTTTTCATGACCAGCGTCACTTTGAACACAAGTTCATTTCTGCCTGGAAACAATAAAATGTTCTGTGTGACGTCACATGATGGAAATAAAAGTCAGTGGGAAATAAAAACATGAAAATAATTAAACAAATAATTTTAAAGTTTCAGTCATATTTTATCCATGTGATCAATTATTTAGATATTGATTTAATTTTGAAGTCTTTGTGCCTCCCTATCCTGTGGTCACACAAACCTAATATTAATCTTATTTATTAAATAATAAGATGATGTTATTCTCAAACTTTTGATGCATTTATGACCAAAAGTTTCCTCTGAGCTTTACTCTTAATATCACCGGACCTGGCAGAAACAGTGTGAACAGGTGTGTGGGTCACATGATGTTGGTGTTGAGTTCAGTGTAAATCAGACACAGAGACAAAATCTTTATCTGTTTCTTTATTAAGTTAAAACATGAAGCTGCTACATGTTTGTTTGACCAAGCTGAACCTGAACGCCTCCATCACCTGCCTACACCTCATGAGGCCTTCACTGTCCTTTAGAGAAAGTTAACCCAGAACTCTGACTCACAGGCGGACGTCCTTCTCCCCTGCAGGTGGAGGTGAGACAATCAGGATCCAGCAGTGGAGATGTGATAGAGGTTCAGTCTCATTAATAAATAAATGCAGAGGACATAATGTCTGAGTTTTAGCAGAGACAGTGAGTAAATACAGCAGCAGAGTTTACAGTGTTTAGGCTTCAGTACTGTGATGCTGTAGTACTGTAGTAGTAATGTAGTACTGTGAATATGTAGTACTGTAGTATTGTATTGCTTCCACTGCAGTAAACCACACTGTGTCTGAGCTCAGTGTGTGGAGGATCACTGCTGCCAGAACCAACAGAACCCAGGAACCAACAGAACCCAGGAACCAACAGAACCCAGGAATCAACAGAACACAGGAACCAACAGAACACAGGAACCAACAGAACACAGGAACCAACAGGACACAGGAACCAACAGGACACAGGAACCAACAGAACACAGGAACCAACAGAACACAGGAATCAACAGAACACAGGAACCAACAGAACACAGGAACCAACAGGAAACACGAGAACCAACAGGACACAGGAACCAACAGGACACAGGAACCAACAGAACCCAGGAACCAACAGAACCCAGGAACCAACAGAACACAGGAACCAACAGGACACAGGAACCAACAGAACACAGGAACCAACAGAACACAGGAACCAACAGGAAACACGAGAACCAACAGAACACAGGAACCAACAGGCCTGTGGCAGCAGGAGACAGGAAGTTAATTAATTAATTAAGCTTTACTTGTAAAAACATGAACTGACCAGATTCTAGATTACTTTAGATTAGGCAAAACTCTAATTCAAAAAATTTATGATGACTTCACTCAGATTATTTTGATCATCTTTATGTCATGTGTTTGTGCTCAGCAGCAGTGATCCTCAACAACCAGCAACTGACTGGAAGACTGTGATGTTGTTGAGCACAGAGCAGCACAGCACTGCTGTACTACAGTACTGTAGTAGTACTGCAGTACTATGGTAGTACTGTAGAACTGCAGTGTGGTGGAGCTGCAGTGGTGTGTTCATGCTCAGGTTGGTAATCAGCTGTTGTGTTGATCTTCCTGTTGGAGGCACTTGAAGTTCAGCAGCAGGAAGTTCTTCATCCACACATGGTCATGTAGAGCCACTGAGGAAACAGCACAGTGGACACTGAGTTTACCTACAGACTGTGAATGCCTCAGTAACTGGCTCTCAGTTTCTGGTTTCATCTGGTTCTTTGTACCTCAGTGATGTTCATCTCCACGGTTCCTGTCCCGTCTCTGTCCAGCTCCTGGAACGCCTCTGAAAACAAACACAACAGGAAGTCCTGAACCTGGATCTGAAGCTCTCAGTGCTGCGTTCAAGTCAAAATTGTAATTCTGAGGTCACACATCAAACTGTATTTGAACATGAAAATAAAATAAAATATGACCTGTAACATTTAGTGTGGACCTCACAGTGTTTGAAGTAGTTCACTCTGTGGTCCAGCAGAGGGAGCAGCTACACCTGTGTAGGTACCTGAAGTTCTGACTGACAGGTGAGGAGAACCAGATGTCTATAGAAACTGAACTAACATCAGAGATGAAACACCTGGATCTCCTCACCTGTCAGACCTTGCTGTCTTCCATTCAACCTTTGAACCACGACCTGGACGACCTCTGTGTGAACTGCAGTTCAATCAGTTTGATCTGAGTCTTATTTTCATATTAAAATTAGTGTGAATAAGAAAACTTTTGCATCTGCATCCACATTTAAACATTGAGCTCCACAGTGACACAGTTTGAGCTTCATTGATCTGGTTTGACAACAACAGGAAGTCTGTTCTTCATCCAAACAACAGTATCTCAGACCCGGTCCCCGGCTTACGTACTGAACATGGCCTCCAGTTTGACCAGGCAGCAGGTGAAGTTGTCGAAGTCAATGATCTCATTGTCGGCGTATCTAGCGACCAGCATCTGGTACAGCTTGTTGTTGAGTTTGAAGCCTGAGGACAGAGGATGTCACAGGTTAGGGAAAGACTCCGGGTGAGTGACGCCGTGACTTTCAGCTTCAGGAGGATTTACCGCCATTTTCCAGAGCTAGACGCATCTCATAGGAGCTCATACACCCGGACTTATCCAGATCAAACTCCCTGAAGATCCCCTGCAGAGAAAAAGGTCATGACATGACATTCAGCAGGTCACAGGAAACACTGAGCACCTGACAGTTTAGTACAGTTCAAGTACCTGACCACTGTAGTTCACAGTTACTGCAGTGCATTAACCTGCTGCAGTCACTGGTCACTTCATAGCAAGCGCATAAGTTTGCATATGGACGGTAGGGACATGTACCTACCAATATCTGAGTGAACTCATTCACACCATATTTGGAGTGAAATCATATTAAATCGTTTTCAATGTGCCCTCCAAGAGTGAAGACTATCTGAACGCTCATGTCACATAAGAATATCACAGTGGTACATAACGTCATCAGAAAAATGTCAATGGATGTTGTTTCACCATGTTTACTTGTGTTAACTTTTGTGTTTTACTATACTGATGTTTTTATGACTTTTTATACCTTATTATGCTATTACATTTTGTGAATTTTTATACCTTAATAAACTATATCTTTTGTATTCTTTACTGTACTATGACATTGTCATGCGTTACTATACTATGACGATTTAACATGTTTTTATTCCATACTGTAATATGATGTTTGTATTACTTTTTATGTCTTATTATACTATGATGTTTTTATGATTTTTTATGCCTTATGATGTTTTTATGACTTTCTATGCCTTACTATACTATGACTTTTTATACTTTACTATATGACTTTTTATGCCTTAGTATACTATGACATTTTTATGACTTTTTATGCCTTACTGTGCTGTTCTTTACATGACTTTTTATGCTTTGCTAGGCTATGACTTTTTATACCTAACTATACTGTCGATTTTATGACTTTTTATGCCTAACTATACTATGACGTTTTTATGTCTTCTTCTGCCTCACTATACTATGACTTTTTATGCCTTATTATACTATGTAATTTTTATAACTTTTTAGGCCTTACGATACTATGACTTTTAATGCCCAACTATACTATGTTGTTTTTATGACTTTCTATGCCTTACTATACTTTGTAATACTATGACTTTTTATGCCTAACTATACTATGTTCTTTTTATGACTTTTTATGCCTTATTATACTATGACTTTTTATGCCTTACTATACTATGTCGTTCTTATGACTTTTTATGCATTGGTATAATATGACTTTTTATGCCTTGCTATACTATGACTTTTAATGCCCAACTATACTATGTTGTTTTTATGACTTTTTATGCCTTGGTATAATATGACTTTTTATGCCTAAATATACTATGTTGTTTTTATGACTTTTTATGACTTACTATACTATGACGTTTTTATGACTTTTTATTCCTTACTATACTATGTCGTTTTTATAACTTTTTATGCCTTACTATACTATGCCGTTTTTATGACTTTATATGCCTTACTATACTATGACGTTTTTATGACTTTTTATGACTTACTATACTATGACGTTTTTATGACTTTTTATTCCTTACTATACTATGTCGTTTTTATGACTTTTTATGCCTTACTATA